GATAATATTTTTCTATAAAAAAGGAATGTAAGAAAAAATTTTAAATTGATGACATAAACAATATAAATGAAAAAAATAGTGTAGTCATCAATAACTGCTTCACAATAATACCATTATTGGATATGGTTAAAAATATTCACGTGGGTGTTAAACGGCGACAGATGATTGGCGCAAATCATGCCGCTGCGTGGCATGATCTGCACCAATCACCTTCCGCCGTTTAACACCCACGTGCATATTTTTGAAACCCTATCCAATAACTATAAACTATTTTGATAATAAGTAAAGATATTAGTAAAGCAGATTTGAATTAAAATTAAAAAATAGTGATAAATAAAATAAATATATCTATTTTGATATAGGTAATATTTTTAATAAATATTATATAATATATCAATCAGAACTAGCTGATTTTAGTATTATTTGATTCATCACATCAAAACAAATCAAATAGTACTAAAATTATCTAATTCTAACTACTAAATCATGAAATATTACTTATTAAAGGTTGTCTAAAAAATATGTTCTTATTTGATATAATGTTTAATTTACTACAAATAAATATTTATAATAAATATCATGTAATGTATTAATCAGAATAATATAATTTTGGTACTATTTGATTTGTTTTATTGAGATAAATCAAATGATACCAAAATTTTGTGATTCTGATCAATATATTATATGATATTTATTATAAACATTTATTTGTATCAAATTAAATATATTTACCTTAAGCTATTTTGGTTAAATAGAGTATTTTGAGAACTATCAATTAGAATCAGATGATTTTGGTACTGTTTGATAAGACAAATTAAATAATACCAAAATCATGTAATTCTGATTAACAGTTTACAAGATATCATCATATATCAAATTAGAAACTATATCAAATTAGGTATATTTACTTTAGGTTTTGTAAATTAAAAGATTTTTAAAATATTAGTAATTATATAATTTTGTTAATTATTGATAAAAAAAATTGTTATTTCCACTTCTATTTTTATTTACCACTCTCTAGATATTAAAAAATGCTCTGAAGAGATATTTTTATTAAATAAATCTTCTTTTTGATCTTAATAAAAATTGTTTATCAAGCTTTTCTGGTTCTAATAATTTTAAAATTATTAAAATTAAACTGATAGTTTTTTTAAATAAAAATAAAAGCTAACTAACTTCAAATATAAATATCTTAGAAACTACTAGTTTAATTTTAATAATTTTACTATTATTAAAACCAGAAAGACCTGATAAACAACTTTTATTAAAATCAAAAAGAAGGTTTTTTAATAACAATACCTCTTCTGAAGCATTTTTTAAATTTTGGGGGTGGTATTAGCAAAAATAGGAGTGAGAATAGCAATTCCCAATTAATAAATATATAAAAGAAAATAACTATATTTAACCAGAGGTAGAAATCACTGCTCTTATATTTTTAAAGTTAGGGTGCAATTTTAAACAAAACTTAGAGTTAGATATTAGGATACTAATTTTAGTTAGCATAAGATTTTTGGAAGTTCTGAATATTTTTACTTAGTACTCCTGAGAGATGTTAGCTAGTAGTTTTTGAGATATAGCATCTCAGTGATTTTAACCTTAGTGAAAATTAGAAATTCTCTATATAAAAAATATTTTTAATTTATAAATAATACAAGTATAATAATATTATAAATAAATAATAATAGTTGTAGAAGCTTAATTAGTTTAAAAATTCGAAAAAAAATTTGTAACTTAAAATAAAATAAGTTAAATATATTTAAAGTTTTAATAATAAATAAGACAAGTAATTTGGGTTATTTAAAAATATAAAGTAACTAAGTTTGTTTTTATTAAATTTAATACTATAATAGTCTCTATATTTAAAATAGTAATAGTTAATATTATAAAAATCTAGATTTTAAATATTTATTAAGTAGATATTTTAATATTAAATTAAAATTTAACAAAATTTTTTTTAAAGATTAAAACAAAGTAGAAAATTAAAGTTATTCTATTATAGCTAGTGTGGCTTATATATATAATTTTGTATAATTTTATATAACTATAAATATATATAGCTTGTAGTTAGTATAGCTAATATAGCTAATATAGTTAAATATAATTATATAAATTATATATTAATCTATAAAATTTGTATTAAATAAAACTAATTAAAAAAAATTATAATAAATAATTAAAAATAGAATTACTGTATGAATTATTATATTTTATGCCACTAGTTAATATTAACCAATTAAAGTTAATAACGTGATTGACAGTCTTACTATAAAAGGTAACAGTAACACAAAACTTGCATTCCAGATTTTTTTATCTATTACAATGTTTTTTGAAAAGATGGATGATGACAAGGTTGTTTTATTTTTTTATTCTTGAGAATTTTAAGGCCCATTGGCCCTTTAATACTTGTTATATTATATTTGGTTCTTTTGGTTCTTCTGAAAGTACTAACTCAAATCCTGTTTCAGGTTGGTGAAATACTAGTCAAAATTAATTCCATACTTATAGATATTAAACTAACTTGCACTTTAAAAAACCTGTCGGTTCCTCAACGAAAATTTCTCTGCAATTAGCCCCTCAGAAAGCGTTAATTTAAATTCGCCCCAAGTTAGTTAAAAGTTAATTGGATTAATTAGTAAAAAATATGTTTAACGCTATACTAATTTAATGTTTATTGTAAACCTAACTTACATCTTGAAAGACCTGCTGGTCTACAAATGAAAGCGTTAATTTAAATTCACCCAGGTTAGTTAAAAGGCTAATTGGATTCATATTTGGTTCTTTTGGTTCTTCTGAAAATGCTAACTCAAATCCCATTTCAGGTTGGTGAAATACTAGTCGAAATTAATTCCATACTTATAGATGTTAAACTAACTTCACTTTAAAAGACCTGTTGGTCCCCCAATGAATATTTCTCTGCAATTGGTCCCACAGAAAGCGTTAATTTAAATTTGCCCAGGTTAGCTAAAAAGTTAATTAGGTTAGTTAGTAAGAAATAGGTTTAACACTATACTAATTTAATGCTTACTGTAAAACTAACTTACATCTTGAAAGACCCGTTGGTCTCTCAATGAATATTATGCTGCAATAGGTTCTTCAGAGGATATTAATTTAAATTCACCTCAGGTTAGTTAGTTAAAGCTTCTAGTAAGAAATAGATTAAGCACTATACTAATTTAATATTTACTGCAAGATCTATCCTGATTATGTTACAAACGACCCTCCCAGAAATGTTAATTTAAACCTATCACAGATTAGTAGCGTTAGCTAAATTTGGTTTAATAAGTTTGTATAATAATATACGAATTTAATATTTTAAGACCTGTGGTCTCATAGTAAATGTTCTGTTAAGCTTGGCTCTTCAAAAAGTGATGATTTAAATATATCTTTGGTAAGTTAATTTATTGAAGCTGGTTTGTAAAACAAGAATATTATACTAATTTATTGTTTTTAAGACCCGTTGGTCTCTTTTTGATACGCTTGATTCTTTTAAATGTATTAATTTAGATCTTCAGGTTAGTAGAAGATTTTAGTATTAGTTTTAGAAAATAAAGTTGAATGTTATTAAAGATTTATAAATTTTGTTTAGGATCAATATTCGGATAATTACTCATTGGAGTCAAATACATTAAATAAAGAGTTTTCTTCACTATCTTCAGAAATCCACCATGAAGCATACTTGTATGATAAACCAGATATGAATTGTTCAGATTCTAGTAGTGAAAATAAAATCAACAATGATAATGCTAGTAGTCAACGTAAATATTTATTTAATATACAGGTGAATAATCAATTTAATACTTTTGAAGAAATCAAAAGTAAGCTTGATAGGTTTGCTATGGAACGTAGGTTTGTGGTTAGAAAAAGACATATCCGAACACGTGAGAATGGATCTGTTTGAAATGCTACCTGGGTATGTCATCTGTCTGGTCAATGGCAACCCCCAAAAAAAATTGATTCTGATAATCAACGCAATCGTAGTGTGAATGCTACAAATTGCAAATAGTACTGTAACTTCTCAATTAGTAGTAAAATATCAACTATTCGATGTTCTTTAATTGACAAAGATTCAGTTCATAATCATCCTATGGACTCTAACATTAAAAACAATGTACCAAAATACCAACGATTGACTGAGGAAATGATTAATAAAGTGGAATTATATCACTGGTGCAATGTTCAACCCATTAAAATAATTCATTTGCTTGAAAATGAATATCCCGATCATTATATTAAACCATGAACTATATATAATTTAATAAATAAACTCAAAGATACGCCTCAAAGACTTAAGAACGATATTTCTGATTTGTTGCATTATCTTTTGCAACAAAAAAAAATAGATCCTGGCTGTATTGTTGAACCTCTTATTAGAGGTATTGATAATGAACTTATAGGTCTCTTTTGGCAATCTGATGAACAAGTACAGCTGTTATCAAAATTTTGTGATATTTGTTTGCTGGATACTACGTGTAAAACAAATCGATATCGGTGACTATTGGCTTTAGTAATTGTAGTCAACAATCATACTCATAGCAAATTGGTAACCCAAGCATTGCTACCTGATGAATCTATAGATTCTTTTATTTGGCTTTTTATCTGCTTTCAAAAAGAAAATCTAGAATATGAACCAGGTATTATCTTTACTGATTCTGACCCGGCCATGGCTACTGCAATTTCAAAAATCTTTCTAGCTACACATCATCATCTTTGTGTATTTCACATAAGTAACAATATGAAAAAAAAGGCTCAGTCAAAGCTTGGGGAGGAGCAATATAATTAATTTATAAATGATTTTTATACTGCACGAAATGCTTTACAGGAAGTTCTTTTTGAAAGTCGTTTTAATAAATTAATTAACACCTATTCAAAAATAGATTTATATTTAAAAAAAATGTATCAATCAAAACAAAGTTAGGCTATTGTTTTACTACACAAGTTTTTAATGCCGGTATTCAAAATACCCAACATGTAGAAAGCCACAATAATCTTATTAAAATGAGTGTTAATTAGTCATTCACACTTATTAATTTATATAAAACGTCTTGATAAAGAAAGCAAGTATAGCTGTGCTCAAGAAAATATTAAATATAATGCTGGGGGGGTGCAATCAATAAGTAAGATATTATTTCCAGAAATTGTCGCCTTATGTGGAAAATATCTTATACCACATATAATGGCTGAAATTAAACAACAGATTAAACAAGAACTTTGGTACCGATATTATTAGTTTAATGTATTGCAAGAACACTATACCGATGAATCTGATTGTACAGATATATGTATTGAAGATAGTTATGATTTACAACAAATATATTTAAATGTACTCTTAAATAGTATTTCATGTGATGATATCCAAGAAGCTTGACGCATTATTAGGATTGTAGGATCTGCTCATTATATTTTTATATTTAAGGATGGTTCATATTTATGCACTTGTACCTATCTGTTAGTTATGGAATAGTATGTAAACACTATTTTGCTATTCTATTAGAGTCACGTGCGGCTATATTTTATATTTCATTAATAATGCAGCGATGGTATAAAGAGTTATACTTTGATGAAACTGATGATAGTATTAAAAACATTCCTGTAATTCAACCAAATCATAATAATATATCCAATGAACATGTTCTATCAAATCAATCTGATCAATCTTTTACTTTTAATCAGTTTAAGCAGCTTGATCAACTTAGAAAAACTTCAGAATTTAAAATATTAACTAAAAAGTTTCTTCAAGATCATATACGTTATAGCAAAAGTTATGGACTATTACAAACTGTTTTAAAATTAGCAATAGAGATCAGGACTAATGAAAAATTAGATCAGTGGTGTAATCAGTTTATTCAACGAAAAAAAGAGTTGCAAAAATCAAACTCTAAAACAAGTGAAGATTATAATGATCAAGAAAACGCTATTCAAGTTACTAATCCGAAGGTTATATCAACCAAAGGCCGCCCAAGTAAAAGACAAAAAAGTGCTTTGGAATTAAAGCTAAACAACTATTAAATACGATTAATGAGAATTCGAATCAATTAAATCATAAGCAATCAAGTAATGAAGAAAACTCTAAAAATATATATACTTGTTCAAATTGCTATACTAAGAGATATAATATTCGTTCTTGTAATTTGCTAAAACCAGACAAGTAAAGATGAAATTATGGTAAGTATTAGTTTAAAGTTTTTGTTAGAATTAGAGTTAGGGTTGGAATTAGGACAAAATAGTTCAATCATTTTTTTTGATATTATAAAAAAAATGCTGAAGCGGAGACGACAGCCGTAGCAGAAGCATTATACATTTGTATAGCAAGTAAGTATTAGTTTTTTATTAATGTTAGGGTTAGGGTTAGGGTTAGAGTTGGAATTAGGACAAAATAGTTCAATCATTTTTTTGGTATTATAGAAAAAGTGCTGAAGCAAAGGCAACAGCCGTAGCAGAAGCATTATACATTTGTATAGCAAGTAAGTATTAGTTTTTTGTTAATGTTAGGGTTAGTTCAGAGTGATTTAATTTTTTTTTTTGATATAGGAAAATGCTGAAGTAAAGGTGACAGCTGTAGCAGAAGCATTAACTACTTGTATAGCAAG